AAGGGATGTTGAGAGGAGTATGCCCTTACATTTTCAGATCTCATTAGTGTTGAATAAAATCAGTCCGGACGCCAGTATTTTGTACAGAAATGACTTTGGCTGAGCGTCGTGAAGATTTTCGGAAGTACCTGAACGATACAGGAATTCTTACCCTTGTTCAAAAATGCTTGAAATCGTTGTACCTGCTGAAGCCAGAAGATCGCCCTGATGACGTTATGCAGTGAGTTTAAACCCGTTCAATAATACTTGGCGAAAACACTGATAAATCATTTCATTTCAATTAGATATTTCCTCAATGAAATACGGGGTACTGCACCCGTGGAAAGCGCTGAATCAAACTCTAAAATAGCTGATCTCCGACGGGAAGTTGAAGAACTTCAGAAGAAAGTTCTCGAGTTGCAATCGTGAGTATTTTACGATATATATTTCGTCAATTGAGGTAATCTTCGATTATCCAACGTTTCCTCCAGCTCCTATGCCGCCGCACTGCCATCTGATCCCGCGACGTTCTCTTCGAATCCAAGGGAAACTTCCCCAGATTAAATTTGACCATCTGTTTACTTGTGATACGAGTTCTACTACCTGCTTTTTATGATTTCTCACATTGTGCTATTGTTCAGTATGATTACTTGAAGCTTCATTATCGTGAGTCTAGTTTATTTCTGTAGATGAAGCTCGCGCTCGAGAATATTCGCGAAGTTGAAAGTTGATCCATGATTAATTTCTCTTAAGTTTCCCCATCAGAAATCATGAAAGATCCGGTTCTCGTGTTACGTGACAAAAAATTCCTCTTGGGAAGCTTGAAAAGTCAGCAGGTAAGTTACTGCATGTGTTAAATTGGCTCATCTCTGTCCTAAAGTCACTCTCTTTTTCAGCGATGGGATGGACGGAAGTTTACGGAGTCAAGGTCTGTAACTGTTGAGTTCGGAAAGGAACCCGGTTCTGTGGTGGTGAATCTTGGAGATACTCGGTACTTCTCAACTTGATCAATCTGCAAACGCTTCTTTAGTAGGGGTTTCAATCGTTTGATAATACTTTCGTAGGATCATCTCAACTACCCGCAATGATGTTGTGTCACCACGAGGAAGTCGACCGAACGAGGGTTCTATGCGTGTGAACTTGGATTATTCGCCGGTTTGCGGGAAGAACATGGAACGGCGTCGGTCTGGAGCGTGGGCGCAGATCGTTCGAATTTTTGATAAATTACTGCAAGAGTGCCGGTTTGTCGATCTGGAGACGCTTTGCATTGTCGCAGGAAAACAAGTGAGTGTCGGAGCCGCGTGTGAGAAAACGTAGTTTCTGAAATGTGTACATTTGACTAATTCTGCCTTAGATGCGCTCGACGGTCGATGTGCACGACCTTAATGATTAAAAAGGCTTTTCCGATGATTTAAAAATTTTATCAAATTAAAAAGTTGGAACGTGGTGATACCGATTGCTAATTCTCCAAGCTATCTGTGAAGAGCGTGTGAAATTATGAATTTCTATGCTTTCTTTGTTGAGGCATGGGAGATCACGGTGGACATGAATGTGATCTCCGACGATGGCAACTTGCTAGAATGCGCCAGCATAGCTTTAATCGCTGCCCTGAAGCATTTCCGTTATCCTGTTACAACCATGGATGGAGACCAACCCATCATTCATTCGATCAGAGAAAAGGATCCTTGTGCGCTAGTTTTCACTCACAATCCCGTGTTTACGACGTTCTCTTTCCTCGGAAAAGGGGAATTTTGTCTTGTGGATCCCACAGAAGACGAAGAATCAGCTCAAGATGGGAAGCTAGTGATTGCCTCGAATTCGTTCGGGGAAGTGTGTGGTCTGCACTTGGCTGGAACAATACCTGAGATCCCAGATTTGATGCCGAAGTGTGTGACGATATCCGTCGATAGGACGAAATTTGTCATGGAAGTTATTAAAGAAGCGTTAGCATTCGACTCTCAAGAACGGTAAGGGTTTTTATGATTAGTGTTCGCGTATGTAAAATGTACATCTTCCCAATTTTTACCCCCAAAAAAAGGAAAAAGAAATTAGGCCGTGAAACGAGAATAACTGGCATCATAAGTTTCCTTACTTCCGTATGGAACGGTCGAAAAATGGGTACCCATTTGAATATTTATCACATTACAGGAATTCATTGAATATCGGGCTCCTAGTAAAATTATTTGTATCCGAAGTATGGTTTGAAGTGCCAATTGAAAAGAGAATCAGATTGAATCTGAAAAGCATCTCGCAAGATTGTTTCTCTGAGTAATTAATGTTGAACTGACGTAATGATCTTTCTTGGAAGGTTAATTCAATGTAGAACAATGTTTTACTTCCTGAGATTATGTAACCACGGATTATAATTTTTCATCATGTCAATCGATTTTTTCTTTTGTAAATATGGCAGCTTTACTTGCTATTTTTCGAATAATCTACTCTCAAAAATTGTTCGTGGATTAGATCGAGTCGAAAGCAGTGTGGATTCACTGTCGCGCATTTCATGTTCGGATGCCAGAGTGTGTACCCGGAAGAAGTACTAGATTCTGTCGCCAAGAAGTCTCCATCTATGTTGCAAATGAGGAGAACCATATCCCCAACTGAAGAACCGATGGATGAAGATCGTATGTCTCCTGGAATTCGAAAAGAGCCTGAAGAATCAATTTCTTCTGATGAGCCTCGAATCAAACAAGAAGTTGATGGTTAGATCTTCGAAGTTCCTTGGAGAATTTTCACAGTTCACCATTCGTGTTTTTTGATTGAACAGACGCTTCGTGGGGAATCGATGTTACTGCGGAAGAGGTTGTCGAACTCACTCGACGAACTGCGAAAGATAAAATTCAAGCCGTCGGTGTGTATATTTTTGATTACCTGTTGAGTGTTCTAATGTATGAACCCAGTGTCTAATTTTCGATTTTTGTTTCAGAGTTGTCTGATGATGATATAGGCGAAGACGAAGTCCCAAAAAAGTTAGTTTTCTTGTGTTAAATTGAGGTTCCACTTTTAAATCGATGCTTCATTCTCGTTCGTATTTCCGAATTCAAATAAAAAAAATTTTTTTCTGATGATGACATTTTCAAATTTCAGGACAAAGAAACCCGGATCGAAAGAGAAGAAATCAGGGGCTAGTGCTGATGGAAACAAATGGTTTTGTGACAAATGGTGATTCGTCCGTTTTTACAATTTCTGCAATCCAGGAGAATGTTTCCACTGTTCAACATGATTTTTATTCTTTATTTTACGTGTTTCTGCGAAGTGAAAGATGAATTTTTGTTTATGCACAGGGTTTCCCTGCCGAGATGACGTTTGGAAATCGTGGGGTGTTTTCCGCGAGTTGCGCGAACATTTTGTGTGTTTCGGAAGCTTGAGACGCGTCTTGATTTCGGAAATGGCAATGTTGAAGACCCCAGAGCAGAAGGTGATTTTGTGCGGGGAATATGGCGTCGGAAAAAGCTCCTTGTTCAGACGTTTCATGACCGACTCCTTCGTCGCGAATTCAGACCGGAAATCCACCTTGGGTTTGGATCATTACGAGAAAATTTATACCTCTGCTGACCGCGAAATCAAGGTGAGGTTCGATATCCAAGAAAATTTCGAATTTCCACGATTTTCTCGGTATATTTCATTGCTTTTGGAAGTACGGTATACGCGGTAAGTGTTTCGGTTGAAGTGCACAGAACATATTGAGCGCCCTTGTGTCATCGAAGTAACGCATTGGAAAATACTTCGACTAGAATATTTCCTGCAATTTCTTTTAGTTGTTGGCTTTCTTGAAATAATTCCTGAAAACATTTTTTTGAAAGCTCAATCAATTAAATGGAGAAATTCGGATTTTATTCCGTTTAGTTACAATTGTGGGATACCGGTGGAATGGAGCGGGTTGCTTCCGTGACTTCGAGTTATTACAAGTTTGCTGAAGCTGCTGTGTTGGTGTTTGCTGCGAATAGCAGAGATTCCTTCAATGCCCTTTCAGTCGTAAATGAGCTTCACTAAAGGAAGCGCCTCTTACGCTTTTATAAAGAGACGACGTTGTTCTAACTAGAATCATTTTTGCTGCAGGTTCAATGGCTGCTCCTTTACCTTCAAAAAACCATTCAAGCTGCACATTTTTCTTACTTTCATGAAGAGAAAATTATCAGAAATAATTTTAAATCAGCTTGTATTTTTCACGAAATAATTGTATACAGTACAGTACTTGATTATAATCTTCCTGAATCAGAATTAATTTCATTTCTTCAAAAAATTACTTTACTCTTAATATTCGTACAGCATGTACGGCATCAGTACAGTACTGTATTTATTTGCAGGAATAAATATCTGAAATACTTTTTTTTACCGCGATATCTTCTACCTACTCCAAGTCGATTATTCAATGCTGTGTGATGGACCATGTATGCAAATGTAATGCTTGGATTAAAAATTCAAAATTTACCAATACTGAACAGTCTTTTTTGGGGACCCTTGTTAATAATAGTCGAATAACATCTCCTTTGAATTTTCCAAATTCCAACGAAATAATTGTTTTTATTTTAGAAAAATTCAAGTCAAGCGAAAATTATTTTTTTTTTCATTTTCCAATCGTTTTATTCGAACACGCATGTCCGTTTCCGGCAAAAATGCAGTCCCCCGAGTGTGACGTTGAATAATTTTTTTCGTTATGAACATTATTTGCTGATTATGCAGCGAGCAGTTCCATAACGTGGTATCAGCCGTTTATAAAACATCATGTCGAACTGGCGAAGGAGTTGAAGAGATGTTCGACGATATTGCGAAGTTGTTGCTGGAAGTGAACCGCTCAAGAATGGAGCTGGAAGCGTTGGAGCAAGAATCCTTCCGGTTGCTGGAATGTGATGAACCCCCTGTTCAAGACCAGTGCAGTTGCTAGCAAACTGCGCGTGCTTTTTTTTCACGTCTGAACTGTCAACAAATCATTCAACATTTGTGCGAAGGTCTTAACCGTATACAGGGAAGGTTAACGATCAGCGGAGCTGTTTTTTATTGAAGTAAGCCTAGGACTAGAATCAACTTCTTGCGTAGACTAAAAGAAAAAGAATGTGCTCAGTCAATCATTCTACGCAAATTTGAAACACGCTGACCTTCAATATGAATCGGCTGTGATTATCTGAGAAAGTGTTTTTCTGAATGTGCTCATTCAGTAGCGTAGAGTCTGTTTGAAACAGAGCTGGTTCCATGGAATAGGTGAGCAATTTTTATAAATTGCGATCTCGATTTCATTTATGTAGCGCTCATTTGGGAGCCTGATTTTTTAGTGTTTTTTTTTTTCCCCCTTGTGATGCGAGGAAATGTTTTTTTCGGTGCCAACGCGGCCAGTGAATAGCTTCTTGAGTCGTAAACCATTAGGCGGAAGTTGTTCCCATTACTTTCCACTGGTATATTTTTGTGATGATCTATATCCTTTCGTGTTCCGTGATGCCCCTGATGACATCGACTTCGTGATACTGTGCAGATTCGTTCGTTCATTCATTTTTTTTTTCAAATACGACATTAAAATTGGTTTTATGTGGAACGTAAGGACATCTGAGATTGGTTGACATGAGTTATGAGTAATTGTTTTTTAATATTTCTGTCGTGAGATACACGAAGACACTAGTTGTCTTCCATGATTGGAGCTGTTTTAATGACAATTGAGTCATGAGTGACCCAGGACCCTGCGACTGGTTTATGTGAATTGCAGTACTACAAGGTGTTCGAAAAATTACTTCGCGTCGGAGAATCCCTTTGATGAAATTACTTTCTTCATAATGTGAAAGTATAAAATTGTTATACTGTAGGTAGATGTTGGCAGAAGTAGTCGTTAATCCGCCCTGTGAGCCGTGGGTCTGGATTCTTTATTCGTAGAAGCTGCAATGAGTAATTGTAAATACCGAAGAAAAAGATTATTTTACCATCTACGAGAATGGTTTTGTCAGTTATTAGCGTACTGTTCGGGTTTTTGTTGTTTTGGAAACGAGCGATTTCCAGCTTTTTCGATCTGAGGAACTGCATTGCTTGAAATGAAACCCACTTTGATCGGAAGGTTACTTGAACTTATATGACTGTGCAATGACTTTTCGGACGAATTGATAACTTGAACAATAATTATTTTTTGAGCCGAGGCAATTAGTAAAACCTGAATCCTCATTATGTGAATAGGTATTTAGCATTTTTCGGTATCAGGCAAGTGAAATCTAGGGAACGGAGTTTTGATTTCTGGACGTTCAAAATGTTTTCCTTTTTTTTCTTTCTTTCGGAAACCAACGGAACTGTGCTTGACTTGAGTTCAATAAAAATTTTTAATGACCTAGGTGGTTAACGAAGTGGAATTTTTCCCATTCTGTTTCGTTTCCCATACTCGACTGCGGTAGTTGAGGCTGTCATTTTCTTTATTAACGTGGGAATGTGAAAATTTCTTTTTTTTTTATCGTGCAGTGTCCCGTTGGAAGAGATTCGAATTCGTGGGTAAATTGCGACGCGATGTGTCCAGTCTTTTGAAAAAAATTGGCGATAATTTGTTTCGGAATTCAGCGCGAATCCCATATTAGTGATGAGTGCTGTACAATTGTCAGAAATTCAAACGGACTTCAACGTCAAGGAAATCATACGACTCACTGTGTTCGGTGCTTTGAAGCAAGTCGTCAATGGAGAAGCTGAGAGTGAGTTTTGAATTTTTAAGTAGAATTTTAGTCAACAGGATGCATGCGTATGTAAAAATCTTGTATTTTGGCCGCTTGGTAAAAACCATGGATCCATTTCAGGCAAAAGCTTGTAAACCTAATTTTATTTTCCAATTATCTTGATGGAGAAAAATTTGTTTTTTTGTATTGTATTCCTTTCACTTGAAAGACGCTTTAAGATTCAGGACCATCAATCAATCAGAATGTGTTCCGGATGGTTTTGAATTATTGAACGGACATCTTGTATCGAAGTTCGATGTATTTTCTTCTATAAATCTTCTCACGCTGTAATAACTCATCCTTGACAACTTTTATGCATAAATTATTAATTAGGCACCCATTAGCTACCGATATTATAGAATTGCAAATTGTCAAACGAAAATCTGTAAAACTCGATTGTTATCCCTTTTTAAATTTTTTGAATTTGTAATACAGTAATAGGTTCATGACGAAATTCGATTTCATTTCTTTTCTTAGTTGCATGGAATTTTCATGATCACTGACAACTTGAAGCAGAGGTCATCTGCACTTCTCATTTGCATTTCCATCGTATGATTCTGTTTGAAGTGTTTTGATAATTGAAAGAGCTTCAACTTTGTAGCCTCCGATGGGTGGCATTCGATCGAATGCGAAAGTCGATTCATAAGCTACCTGTATAAACTATCTCGTAATTAAGCTGGTTGACTACTTATCTTGGCTAATGAAATTCGATATGCGCCGGAATTCCGGCAATACCGTCAACTATTTTCATTCCACTTCCCGTCCAATAAAATTTTCAATTGTCTTCTACCCGAGCGAAGACACCGATTTTCTTTGACGAAATATTCCGTGGTCTACTGTACATGATTTTCTTTGGAACGCATGATGGCATTTTAATAAGCACACAATTTATATTTTTGCTTACGCAGTTGTGACATTTCCGTCGTCATTTTCTGCCGAGGAGAGGAAGTTTGTGCGTTTCATTGCGTCTCTCGCCGAGCTCGACTGCTTCAGTGAAGGGTAATTTATTTTAATGATTGATGATCAGGAGTTCGGTTGACGTATACGCTTTATTTTTTTAATTCTTTGTTAGCTCCTTCCCTGAGAGAACCATCAGTATCAGAAAACGCAATGGACCGTCGCCTCCTGGTCTGCGAGCCAAATTGTCATTAACTGCCCTCGGAAGATTCTGCTTGGAAGAATTTCACAAGGATCATCCGTCGAGCGATTTTGATGCCAAGATACTCAAATCACTCGCTGATGGCCAATTTGCGAAACAGAGCCAAGGTTTGTTGATGTTTGAGAATTTGAATCATTGAATGACGGGGGGAAATTTCCAAGCAGAAAAATGAATTGCAATTCTTCACTTGAATAAAATTTGCGGACTGGACTTCAAGATTTCATCGTTATTATTTTTTTTTATGATCTGCGCATTTAAAAAACTGTTTGCTTCTAATTTCGCAAGTGATTTTTCTGTTTTGTTTTCGCAGAAATCAAAGATGTATTTCAGCCCCAGGGCCGCATACCAGCTGGTGATCCAAGAATACCAGTTGGTCCGTCGTCGACGAGAATGCGTCAGGAACTTCTAGACAGCCGTCCAATTTTGAAATACGCCTCCGCCGTCCTAAGCCATGTGCAGAACAATCGCTACCTGATGATTCACGGAGAAACTGGATGCGGAAAATCGACCCAAGTGCCGCAGTTGATTATGGATAATGCGATCGACAAGGATCAACACGTGCGAATTATTTCAGTTCAGCCAAGAAGCCTGAATGCCATCCAATTGGCAGAGCGCGTCGCTCACGAAAGGGGAAACACGGGTCAGAATCAAATCGGATGCGTCACTCGGATGGAACCACTGTGAGGGATTTTAATTTCGATTTTTTAAAAGAAGTGTTCATCATATAGAATTCTAGTTATTTAAAAATAATTTATTGTGCGGGGTTTGCTCGCGATCTTTAATGAAGCCTTTTAAAGTTGTTATTCACAGCGCGTCTTGGAAGATGTTTGATTTCAATTTTTTGAGAACGTTCGTGGAAATGTTGACAATTTTTTAAAAGCTCAGAATTTGTTTCGTGAGGAATTTTCCTCAGTCAGTTGCAGAAAAGCTCTGCATTTTGAGTCATGCTGTCATTTTCGCGATTTTTTTTTTTCGGTTGGACGACCCTCAGTTTTCCCTTTCACTCGGTTTTTACTGTAAATTTCAAGTGTATACAGTATTTCAGCTTATATTTCAAGTACGGTAAATAACTGTGATAACCCTTTCCTGGAATGCATTTACTTTATTCTTAATTGCATGGCTTTATTTTAATTTTTTAGGATGTCTTCGAACGGGGTGCTGACGTTTACCACCCTTGGCTCACTGACGAGGACCCTTGCTGTGAACGGGCACCAGTTTTTTCGTGGTGTCACGCATTTGATCATTGATGAAGTACAGGAGCATGGGATCAAGTGTGACGTGCTTCTAGCCGATTTGAAGTTTAAGCTCAGTTTCAGCCGTGGCACAAAATTGATTTTGCTTTCAGCATTCGCCGATCTGAAGCTTTCCGCGTATTTCGACGATTGCTCCATGCTTGGAAGTGAGTTACTGTATTTTGGTGTTTTTTTGTTTTTTTTTTTAAATCAGAACATGATTTTGGTTCACAGCTATTCATTTGAAGGTTTTCTATAAATTTGACATGTCATATTCGATTATCCATGAGATGGACTCCTTTTTCCGGTCATGATCACTGAATTAAGTACTATATTGTAATCAAACGTTTGCTCGCTTCTCTTTTTCTTCATTCTGTGCATTTATAGAAGCGTTGCTGCTTGAAAATAAATTTATGTTAGATGCATGAGAAATGTTAGAAATCAATTTATTAGCCTGTTTATTTCTTTAGTGCTGTAATTCTTTAATAGAATGAATATTTTGAAAAAAATTCATACTTCAGTACTGTGTAGAGAAATAAAAATACTCGGAGTGTTCTGCGGTTCAATTGGAAATTTTTCAACTTCTTGCCTTGATTGTTGCCTGAAGGTTGAAAATGTCAGGAATACGATATTTGATATCACGAGGAGTGCGAAATGAAAATTAATACATTTGTCTGTGAAGATATTCAACTTCCGAAGATGTTTAAATTTGTCCTGCAGTTTGAAAAAGATTTTACTGTAATACTATACTTGACGTGGCGTGTCTGAAATTTCATGAACTGACGACATGCTGGTTCTTTAGTACCCCCATCTAAAGAATCGACTCACTCGGTGAAAGAAGTTTTTCTGGAAGAAGTTCTGAGTTCAGTCGGATTTACGTGTGCTGAGATGGAGGCTGAAAAAGCTCTTGCGGAAGCGAGCTGCTCTGAGAAACTACAATCGTGGAAACAGAAGCCGAAAAACGGTGCGTTTTGCATGATACTTCAAAAATATTTATCAATTTTAAAATAAAAATGGTCTCTCTTCAGGTGTCAGCAATGTGGAAGAAGGACATCATACCCCGGAAGTGAGTTTTAACAAATCATTGATCACATCATGTCTGAAGTGTAATTACTGCTTTTTTTTTTTTTTTCTTCTTTCAATCTCCAAAGAACCCCGTGAACTCAGACGCTGGTGGACAAAATCGTAAAGAATCATTTGACTGTTTGCTTGAATCAGCTATGAATGCTGGTTCACCGGAATTGTTTGATCGGATATTACAAAGCATCACTGATCGCTCTATGCACGTCAATCACGAACACAGTAAAATTGGATTGACGGCACTTATGTGTGCTGCTTATGGGGGTCGGGAGGACGTTGTCAAAGAATTATTATCTTTGAAAGCATCGGTCAAGGCTAGAACGAGGTCCGTCGACCCTGATTTGCAACTTTCGGCGAGTGATTGGTCCCAGATTCGAGGAGAGCATCGCATTCAGCGTTTGTTGAATGAATCGCAGTAAGTATTTGTGGTTTGGAAATGTGTTCTTTTCTCCTGTAAGTAATGAAAACGGCGACAGTATCAATTTAAAATGCCACGAAAATGATAGTTGTGAAGGTAATATGACGGAAGAGTAACGCCAACGCAAAAGTCGGTATTTACGGGGGGAAGGGGGGATCTTTTGGATTTTCTATATATTTTAATTCAGATACTGTACCTGAAAACGGCATCTTGTGAACATCCAAGGGTTTCAAAGACTTCATCTCATTGAAATGAAAGAGTATAATGATTTTTTTTTAAATTGAGTTTTTTTGCGATTTCGGTAAAGGTTTCTTTTTTATGAAACGTAGGCGAAAGTCATGAAAATATCAGTCTGAGGAATAAAAAAAATCATTCAAAACTGATCTTAGAATGCAAAAGAATATGAAAATATATAATGCTGCAAATAAAATATATACTGGGGGGTATTTCAGTATTTCATTTGATAGCTTCTGAATTTTGTATAAAGCACTGTTTGTGCCTTTATGCGTTGCTGGAATTTTTCAACTTGGTCGTTTAACGGATGCTCTTTCGGGAAATGTTTGCTTGTTGCCAAATCCACTGAAAAATGTTTTTGATTGTCAACGAGTTGAAATAATTCAGGAGTGAATAAAAAAACAATATCATTGACTTGAGGGATAATTTTGTCGTGATTTTTGTCTTCTCTACAGAATCGGCTGCACTGAAACCTGGGACGAGGACTTGGAACTGGTTCTTCGCAGTAATCAAATGGACCTCGAAGCGAAAAAGTCTCTCTCGTATTACTTGAGGTCTATCAAAGAGCCGTTTGTGGATTCGAGGGTTTTACTGGAACTTCTGCTGAATGTAAATGCTGAGCGAGATCCTGGGGCCATCATGGTGTTCCTGCCAAGTTACGAATTCATTTTGGCTATACGAGAAAAAATCCTCGAAGATCCGCGTTTTACGCAATGCGTGCCGTCGTTTCGGATCTTCATGATGCACGAAGCCATGCGGGTGAGAAAAATCGTGATCGAATCCTTCATCACGTCCAATCGATCCTTTAATAGAAAACTGACATTACTAAAAATTGCCCTTACTTACATTTTATGGAGTTATGTCACGAAATAAATACTGTATTGGTCAAAAATTATTGCTGGTAGGCTCTATCTACAATGATTTTCTCCGTGTAGCGATTTTGTTCGTGGCCCCATAAGGGTCTCGATTCAACCTAAAGAAGTTATCTACAACAACATTCTCTCTACAACGTAGTTTTTCTGGTCCACTGAATTTCGTTTTAGAGAGTGAGTCCACCCGTAATAATTTTGGAAAGTTGTGAAACAGTTGAGCGTGACTTTACTTTTTTATTTTTTCTAGTACCCTCTGCAACGATTTTCTGCGTATAGTGTAACGGATTTTTGTTTGGTCCCGTGTGGGTTTCTCCCTATCCTAAAATAATGATATCAACAACGAAATTCTATTTGCAAATATTTATTTTTGTTCCCTGAATTTCGTTGTTGAGGTAGTCCACCTGTAATGATTTTGGAAATAAATGAAATTTGTCAGTGTGACTTCACTTCTTTATTTCTTCCTTAGCTTCAACATTTTTAGGTTTGCTCAAGTTTGAATTCTTACGAATTTGAAAAATATTTTTTTGGGTGAAGTTTTGAAGAACTGTACAATGGACTTGAATTTTCAGTCAACGGATCTACCATTGGTGATGCAAACGTGCGAAGGCTCCCGGAAATTGATCCTGGCTACTTCGATGGCGGAATTTTCCATCACTGTTCCGGATGTCCGTTTCGTCGTGGACTGCGGCCGTATTCAAGACACTCGTTACAGCCAAGCCGAGAAAACCTTTTTGTCCCAATTGTATTGGATTTCAAAAAATACGGCTAGGGTTCGAAGTGGCAGAGCCCGTGCCAGTGGGTGTTGTGTAAGCTACCGGCTTTACACCCAGGCACGGTTTGAACAAATGCCCGAAGTTTCACCTCCTCAACTTCACGTTGCTCCGTTGGAGAAAATTTGCTTGAGAGTGAAAGGCTTGACGAGCCAAAGTATTTCTATCGTGGAATTCTTCAAGCGAACCATTGATCCTCCTCCGGAAGAGAGGGTTGACGATGCTCTGCGTTCTTTGATGGTGGGTCTGTTCAAAACTGCGTGCAGTACAATAAAACAAAAGTATGTACGGGGGTTTTCCCACTTGAACGCGACCCTGGTTATTTCTAGAGTAGGTATGACTGTAAAAATAAATATTATATAGCCCATGGTGTTCTGGGATGTTTACGGATTTTTAAAAACATTTTCAAATTTACTGCATGATGGGAAGTGGATTTTTTTCAGTTTCGCCGGAGTTTATTAGAGGTTGCTGAGAATTTTTCAGGCCAAATAAAAATTAAAATCGTTTTTTTGCTTTGAGCTTTATCTTCTCTAAATTTTAGATTGTGGTAAAAACATCGAAATGTCAAGTGTCAGTTGGCCTGACAAATTTTTAGCACCCAGTGACATTGATGGAGAACTCTGGCCGTAACTGAAAAGTTTCTGCTTATCATCATGCAGTAAATTGAAATATGTTTTTAAAAATCCGAAAAAAATGCCAGAAGCTCAAAAAATCACAGGATATTATCACAATTTTGTCACAGCATACCTACTCTAGAAATAATGCAGTCGCGCCCAAGTGGGACAACCCTCGTGTATAATTAAGATCCAAGTTTATTTTTGTGTCGTGCATTGTTCGAATAGTAGTTTTCAAGAAAGGTTTCAACCTCGCTGTGATTTCAGGATCTCGAAGCATTGGACGCTTCTGGAGAACTCACTTTACTCGGACTCTATTTACTGGAAATGCCGATCCAGCCGCGTTTGGGGAAGATGATTTTGTACGCCATGAAACTGAAATGCTTGGAACCGGTCCTCACCATAGTGAGTGCTCTTCGTGTGAAAAACGTCTTCAGGCTTCCACAGGATGAGGATCACGTTCACTTCACTGCTCAAGCTCGCAAGAGTCTCGTCGAGGACATTCCCAGTGATCTCTTGGCTTTGTTGAGAGCATTTCAGGTTTGTAGTTATTCTTTTCTTATTTTAAAATTCAACGCCAAAAAGTTGCAGCTTCTGAGATTGATTCCTCCTTTTTTGGAAACACTTGTCCTTGAGTGCGCACCTTTTTTTTTTAAAGCAAAAGCTGAGAGCGGGAATTAATGCGTTGGAATGAAAATATTTCCCCAAAACTCAATTTAACTACTGTACGTGAAAATTACCTACTCCGTGAAATGAATGTAAAGCATTTAATGTTTGAAAATAAGGGCAAAAGCCATACAGATTTTGATTTCTTTCCCGCGGAAGTCCAACTTTTTTTTAAATAATTGAACTTCATTTCAATGCGATGGAATTTCTGAAACCCTTTGAATGTTTTCAAGAAACCTTTTTCAGGCCGTTGGATTAATGTGTTAAAAAAATTCAAAGAAATTTTCCCCTTGAAATACAGTATTCCTTTTTTTGGTAGTGACGTTGGTTTTTCGTGGCATTCCCTTCACAACTATCGTTCGCGTAGTGCTTTAATTTGATACCGTCGCAGTTTTACATTCAAGTCTCCAGAAATTATCAGAAATCCAAGTGTTGAAGGATCACGAATTTTGTTTCGTAGAATTTTGACGAAATTTCCCTTTTTTCTTTCGATACAGTCCTGGTCGAAAGCTAAGGCTGAGGGATCAGACCGCGAAAAGCGGCACTTGAATAGATTCTGTCTGAGTCAAGCTGCACTTGAAGAAGTGAGTTCTTCGAGACGAAAAATTATTGCTGCCATCACGACTGCCGGAGTGTTGAAGTGTCGGAGTCCCGCGGAAATGCGAGCTTTAAATCTGAATTCTGAACAGTGGCCAGTTGTGAAGTTTGCCGTACTTGCTGCTCTCGGAGAAAATGTTTGCCTGCTTAATGCGTCGGATTCGTCGTACGGACTAGATTCTCCGTAAGTACCACGTCTGAGATTTGCATGTCTGGAAACTTCAGGAATTATTTATCGTCTTGTGCAATTGTTGCACTGAAAAGAAGAAAAAAACAACTTGCGGATTGATCGAGAAGATAGTGATGAAAAATCAATCATCCTGTTGTAGCAGTTGCATTCATAGGCAATGCGTTTCATTTTCAATATTTTCAAAGATGATATTTTAAGAATTTTTTCAGCTTGAAAAATTTTAAAATGTGCCTAGTTATATTTTCGATTCAATTGTGAAAACGCTGGTGAAAAATTCTGCTTTTGCAGTTTTCTACATCTCCCACATGCTCGATAAGTTTGAAGAAGATAGTTCATTTTCTTTTTGAATTTATGAATCAGCCGAGTGAGTTCATCAGTTGGATTTCGAAATTAATTATTTTCTTTTTTTTAAGGTTCGAGAGCGATGCGAAAATCGATTCAAAATCATTGGTGAAGCTGTCAAAGAAGGGTTTACCTTCGGGTGCAAATTCGAGCGCCTCGTGGATAATGTTTCAAGAAAGAAAGATCAACAGGGAAGGATCAACGTTGGGCGAATGCGATGTGATTTCGGCGGCCTCTGTTATTTTGGCCTGTGGCCCGATACTTTTGGACAATTGCTCCAGGCTGAGACCTCGTGGCCCTTGTTCCGAAGGATTTCACGCAGGTAAGATGTTCTTGATGAACTTAAAATCTAAAATATTTTCATAGTTGTAAATGAACTAGGAAGGAGTCGAATGAGAAATTCACGCAATTTTTCCTCCATCAAGTCCGGTTTTTGTTCGTAAAGAATTTTGCTGAAATTTTGTTTATTTTATTGTTTCAAGAACAATGGGACGAACATTCGGATAGTGAATCAGAAGCGGACGGCGGAGAGTCGCACAATCCCATGGTTTCAATTCGCCTGAGCCCTCGATTGATATTCAGGATGAGGAAGAACGAAGCCTTGCTTTTACTGCATTTGCGGGACAAGTTGAAGGTCGCTTTCTGCCAATTTTTGCGTGGTGGACCCGTGCGCATGCTTGACCCTGGTTGTGCTGCGAACCAAGCCCTTGTCGGTTTTTTGGGCAAAGAAGAAAAGAGTTTGAATCTTCCTGAAGCGCTGAACATTGGATTGAAAACGAAGGGGACCTCTGGGGACTGCTATTCCGCTCCTCCATCAGGTTGGGGCATTGTAATTCCGAAAAGAGTTCCTACGATTCATTTGATGATTTAAAATAACTTCTTTTTTATTTTTGAAACTCCTGCTATTATCCGCCAGTTTTTAAACTTTTATTCGCTTGAATATAAACAGGAAAAATATAAAAAATCAGATGTTCAAACATCCTATTTTACATTGTGTTAATTTAAAGAAATTTAATATCCATCATTCTGAAGCCATCCATTGACTGTCTTCATTCAAGCTTTCCAAAAGTGCACGATTTTTAATTTTAATCGAGAAATGAATTTTCCAGTTAATCTTGGTTCTGTTGCATCGCTGCTAAAGGAGATTGGGTTAAAATTTTTGCACTCAAGTCCACTCAGTAATTTATCGAGATTCAACCTAAAATCACGCATGAATTGACGGGGTAACAGGTGATGCACTGGTGGATTTTTTTTTTCATTCTTGTTGGCAGATTCTTAAGTTCTAGAGAATCCATCAAACTATGAATGAAATCAATTTGTTGAGAATTCTTGGGAATGGTTTGAGGATATGAACTACAGTACTTTCCTTTCTATGAAATCATTTGTAAAGAAGTAAGAAATCTGATTACTCCTGGAATTCTGGGTAGAAACTCTTCATATTCAAAAGATGCCCGAATTAAATTTTTGTGTGATTTTCTAAGATGATCTCCGAGGATTGTCGAAAAAGCGAACGAATGTTGCCGAAGTTGTCCCTGGCGGAGCGGCTTATTTCGTGGTCAAGGTGAATCATCGACGGATGCTTCAAGCAGCCGTAGAGGATAATCAGTGGCCTCTTCATTATGCCACTGAAAAAAAGCTGCTGAAACACATAAGGGTGAGTTCGTCTTGAATGACCCCGAGAAATTACGATTTCGAATGGGGTCAAAAAACCCGGAGTGCTCGAATATTTTGACAATTTTCGATTATGAACACCCAACAATTAATCATGTATTTTTAATGATTGATCGTGTGCGATAATACTTTTATGTCTGTAAGAAGAAAGGTCTCAATATTTTTCGTTATGAAATTCTTCTGATTTATGAAGATGCAGGAATTTCTTGTTCCAGCGTTTGAGATAAATTTTTTATTTATTTTTTGTGCAATGTCGTGTAATTCTATGCCTGAAAACGTATTGCCGTCTTAGATAACTAGGCAGCTGAAAGCACAGAAAACGTTGAACGCGAGTCCTGAGATTTGTACAAAGAGATGATTTTCGAAATGGAAAGTTTTGTTTGCTGAGAAATAATGTTTCCGTCTGGACTGAATGACAGTGTGCATTTTGCGAATCGAAGTGACATCTACGCACGCAAAAGCATTTTTCGTTTTCGAAGCTGCAGAAATTGTTGAAATAATCGCAACCCCCCTCCCGAGAATATTTGATCTAGAATCCATGCTCATTTACTGCTTGAATGTACCTAAATCAGACTCCGTCGTGTTCCATCTGTTCTTCGCAATAAATTCATCTAATTTCTAAAAAAATTTTCGCGTTGATTGCAGTTGAAGGACCGGGTGTTTTTGTTGCTGAATGATTTCGAACACAGCGTGTTCCACGGGTGTCTGTACATAATGACGCTCGACGGGGTTGGCTTGAAGGCAGAGAACGTGAGGGAAGAATTCCGTTACAACTACTTGAGTTATCCCTATCGAATCAAGTGGGAATGTCGTTGTTGGTTGTTGCACGATCAAACGAGGCATCTGAGGGACTCTGACAACGTGCGTGTCGATTCACTCAGGGATGGAAGCGTGAGTTTGGAATTATTATCATTTGCTCTTCATGTTGAAATTACTGTATACCTGTTCTTCATTATTTTTTCGTGCTCAGTATTTATAGATTCCAGTGCTGCCCAATAAAAAAAAACAGCCGCACAGAGAGTCTTCATCTGTCCCGCGGCCCCTTACCTGTAGTTTTCTAGGTGGCAGAAGCCACTATTCAAAATGTATTTTGAAAGATGAATTTAATACAGTATTCAAAATGTTCCTCCACCCTTCATTGATTTTATAATACTATGATTATGATTCAATGCATAGCACTTAATTAAATTTGAAACTTTCATTTAATAGAAAACAATTTGGAACGTATTAAATCATTGTGTATTGTGGCCAGCAAGGACTTGCCACCTCTGCATTGTGGCCCTTGGTCAAAAAAAAAAAAAATTTTATGTGACCTTAGCCATGTCTGAGTTGGGCATCACTGATTTGGACGAATTCAAGACGTATTTATTCCCCTTGAAAGTTGACTGAAAATAATTAAGGATGCATCATATTTTTGACGAAGTGTTACATTCACAGCGCATGAGTGGATTAAACGCTACAAGTATTAAGAGACTGCGCCATATTTATTGAATTATTGGAAGTTAATTTTGAAACATGGTTGCTCTCAGAAGATCGTGTTTGAACGTAAACACAGTGAGATGGTTTTTATAAAATTGAAATCATCTTTTTAGAATTTGATGCTGTGATACTATTTTGTAGAGCGAAATTGTGCCTTGGCTCTTAAAAAACACAATCTTCTGAATAGAAATGGAAGTCTAGAGCTCAGGAAATCATTGATACAAGGGTTGGTTCATAAGTTTTGAGACTTTGTGAAATACAGTTGATCCAAAGGAATTTCAACAATTCAAATTTTTTTTACCCGCATAGCCGCTTCAGTTGGCAACACTTTCCTACACTGTTCAACATACTCTCCAGCAATTGAAATGTATTTTTTTATGCGATTAATCCAACAATCAAAACTAAGCCAAAAATCGAGTTCACTGTTCTGGCACTGCTTCAGTCGTTGGATTTAAAGCATCAAAAAATGCATTGAAATCGGTGGAGAGTATGTTAAACAGCATCACTGAAGTGTTGCCTAATTGAACTGAATTGTTGGGTTCAGTGAACCCAACAATTCCACTGAAGTGTTGGGAGTAAATTTTTTTTTATTGTTGAAATTCCGTTGTGTCTGTTTCAAAACGTCTCAAAACTTATGAACCAACCCTCGTAACCGTCCATAAGGCGATAAAAAAAACGTTCTTTTTTTTCGTGAAGTTCGTGGGGAAATTAAGATGGAAGGCACGAACCTCTGAAGACTAGGAGCAGGTTTTTTTCTGATTCATCAGTCAGCCAAGAAATTATCGATAATCTCTCAAAAGAATCCTGAATTTGGCCAAAATATTTTTGCTGAACTTGTCCTGATGGAGATGTGATTCTCGTTTTTTTTTTTTTCTTCAGGAAATACCGGAAAGAGCAGCAACAGAGCTGATTCGGCTCATGAGGGAAAATCCAGTTCGATCCGCGCAGGTCCAAAATACGTGTTTGCCTCGTGGTGTTCGGGCCCCAACCGGCGATTTCCAGATCCGGAATGATTACTACGTTCAAAATGTCGAATACGCGACTCATCACTCAAATGGGCGGAAGTCCAATGAAACTGAAGGGAAGTTTGGTAAAGATGAAAATTGGAACGACAGACAGCTTGGAATGGGAACCAACATGTAATCGATCCCAGTCTTTTTTTTTTTTTTTTTTTTGGTCTTTTGTCCAACTTCGAAACTTGCGTCCAGTCAGTCCAATGGGATTTTTTTTTTTTGCCCATGAATTGATTTCGAATGGCGTTTAGGCATTGAAAATTGAAATCACGCGCAATTGAGACTGGTTAGATTCGAGTTCATTGATGTGCAGGGGTAACATGTTGTTCCAGACTTCTTCTTCGATTTCTTTTCTGACCGAAATTTTTTTTTCAATTCGAATGATTTGTCTTCTTTGTATGGTGAAATCAGTTGATGAATTTCATACCCATGTTTTGGGAAAGGGATCTCGAAATCGCCCGAATTGAGCGGAAACGATGCGAAAGAAAGTATGACAATGTAAATGTCTTCACTTCTTCGTATTCGTGTTGAGTTGAAAATGTGGGTCGGGGTTCATTTTTATGCGTTTGAATTAGTTTCGAGTCGGAATTTGAGAGAAGAAGGGTCGCAGAATTGCGAGGAACCGTTCTTTGAAAATGAATTTCGATATTACGTGAATCGAACGAAAACAATGCGTTTATCTTCAGTTTGTTGCTTGTGATCAAAGAGATCCTCCTTGCGTGTCCTAAAGTATTCCAATCAAGCGAGAAATACGATTGAAATTCGTTTCGGAGCTTGTGGTGGTTGATCCTGACTTTGGGCAGTGAATTCAAATACGATTTGATTTGAAATACGGGTAAAAAAAAAACTTGGATCTCTTGCTGAGAAACGTCTGATGAATCTCCGTTGATTGTAAAGTCGTATTTTCTGTCGAAAACAATATTGTTCGTTTTGCCAAAATAACGATGATACTTTCTCGAGTGATGAATCTCATTAATTTGTTGCCTGAAGAAGCTCAAAATTCTGTTCGCTGTATTGTTAAAATTGTAAATTGATGTTCATCTCAGACGAGTTTATCTCGTGGAAAGCTATTGACATTGAAATACATCTGAAACCCGTGTAAAAAGCTTTCCTGAGATTTCGATCTGGTCGTCGAAAAGAAAAGATATTCATCTGTTGGAAGATAATTTTTGATAAGTCCTCGTTGAATGTTTTGGAGTAAAATTTTTTTAGAGATTGCGCCATAATTTATTGAGGGGCAGTTCAGTAAACGTAATATAGGCATTCATCTCAAACGAGCTTTTGGAAGTCGATTGTGAAACGTGGTTGCTCAAAAAAAAAAATTGCGTTACCACGGAAACACTGAGAGGGTTTTGAAAGTGGAATCATTCTTGATTTGGCTGTTGTGAGACTCTATTTTGTAAAGCTAAACCGTGCCTGGCATTAAGTTTCTGTGAGTGTCAAAATTACTTTTTGGCGGATGAAGAGCAGAAGTTGAGTACAGTATTCTTCACATTTGCAATCGGATGAATTGTGTTTCGTTGAAATTGGTCTCCGAAATCCGTTGTTCAAGATTTGGAAGATGAAATGCTGAGAAAATAATTCTGTCCGCAAAAAGTTCGTCGTTATAAACTGAGCTTCCGAGTTGATCTGTTTTGAATATGATTGCTCAAGAATTTTTCTTTACACATTTTCAAAATGGAAACATTCTCAAAAGTACTGTATTCTGATGTTGCAAAAATTATTTCTGTGTCATGAGATAACGAAGCTTGTGCTCCGGTTAATTTTTTTGTGCGAAATACCGAAGATTTTCACAGCTTTCTTTGTTTGTGATGGCTCAAGTATGCGATGTGCTTTTGATGAAAAAATTAGCATGTGCTAATTTTTCTCGGGGAAAAAAAAATCCGCAAAAACGGGTTTTCTGTTGATCTTGGTCGTATTCAATATTTTTGGGTCTCGTAGGGAGCAAAAAATTTGCCGCGTACAGTATTCGACGTTTTTGAGTGCTATTTTGGGCGTTTTTTCATCGCATCGGAATAATTCTGCTGCTCAAAAATCTCAATCCACCCGAAATTTCTTATGTGCCGAATTTCTTATTTTTTTCGGTTTTGTAGCCATTCTGTGGGAGGAATTTTTTCAAGTGTGAGAATCTCGAAGGCATTTTGAGTTACTGTTCGAAAAGTATTCGTCAGCTGGTCGGTTGCTTTATGTTGGTGAAAAATAATCACTGAAAATGTGATTGAAAGTACCTGTACTGTGTCTGGTTTCAAACAAGTGCGGTTTTTAACCAATCAACTGCCGAATGGTTGATATCAGTTTGATTTTTCCATGATTCCCATCTTGGGTAACATTTATTCGCATCCCGTTTTAATAAGCGCCTCAATGATTTATTAAATAAAACAGATTCCACGAATTTAATAGAAAAAATTAACATCGATTACGATTAAATTTGGGTTCTCATCAAAAAGGATTTTATTGAGGAGCTTCTCAAAATTTCCTTTTTTCTCATTCCGACTGATGGATGATTACTTCGATTTTTTCTCGAAAACAACCTCTTTTCCTTGTAGTATTCGAAAAAGAGTCCACTATCCGAAGCAAAAATTGTTGACCGTCGCAAGTTTATTATCTGAGGCGTTGTAGAACCTGGGTATTTATGAGCTAAAAAAAATCGTATGTATCATGACGGCAGTTGATGGGTTAAAAATGTTTTGCTTTTGTGATGCAGCATCTTTTTGAATGTTTGTTGGATGATTTCACTCGCTTCATGATTTCATATTTTCATACACGGTTTTTCCTCTTTTTGGAATAGGAAAAAAAAAACTGTGATAAATGTCTCGAAAAGAAGTTAGAAGCGGGGACTCAACTGGTAGCCGGAAGTTTCTGGTAAGTACTCGCGTTGATTTCCCAAATGCTTTCAATTTTTTGCTTGTCAATTAAATTTTTTTTTCTTTGTATCGCAGCCGAGAATCCGTCGTGCCTTATTCCAGAATGACGACAGCGAAGACGATGCTGAACTAACAGGAAATACGAGTTTCAAAAAGAAATCCCACCACGGTAAGCGGTTGAATCCGAAGGTGGATCAAGCTGCCGAAGATGAAGCCGAAGAAAGCGACATAATTCCTGCTCTACTGTCCACGTCAACGGATGTCGATGTTCATTCAAATCCCTTGTAGGTATCTCCAGTCTGGTGTGGATTGATTTTGTCACATTTCTTTTTCATCTGAAATTACTGTAGTTGACGTTGAAATGTTGAGGAACAAGTACCGCGTTGTAAAACTTGAATTTTATCCGCTATGATTAAATACTGCTGGGCGACCAATTTAATCCGTTGCCGGCAGGTTAATTGACAAAGAATACTGCAATTCGGAATATTGATGGGGCCAAAAATCAGAAAAAAATGTTCATAAAATTATTGAGTGATTAAAACGTGTCCGAAAAATAAACTAATGCGCTGATTAAATTTGATTCCCAGCCACTTGGATTTGAAAATATTCTCCCGTTTTATCATAAAAAAGAAAATTGTGAAAGGATCCAAGGCAGTGGCTCACAATTTCATTATACTTATTGTACAGTACTTTATTATCAAAAATTGATTGCATTTGGTTTGAGGAACTTAAAATCATTCGGAACTTCTGCGTTTGATGTTCACACTTTCCCGTATTTTCAGATGGATTTCGCTCATTCATGTATCCAATCTCGGTACCAAATTTAAAAATAAACTATATTGCAATCAATGTTATTCATTCGTTGGTCATCTGAATTAAAGTTGCGATGCAGCACATGAGGAATTGTGACTAATATCTATGTGAGCATTGGTAGGAACAAAATTCGGGATTTTACTTACAGAATCAATGCCAAGCTTCTTGGTATTCGTAAGTTTCTAAAATTTTGAAATTCTGGTGAAACGTGAAAACTCCAAGTGGTAAAGCACATTTTTAAAAGAAGCTTTGGTGCAATTGTTGAAAATTATTCTATGAAAAAATAATTGAGATTGATCTCTGCTAATTTTTCGGGAAGCGCCTGTTGAAATTAAATGTAACCTACTCAATAATAAATTTTAGGTTCTATATTCTGTTGGGTGATGGGATGCATATTATCCCACGATTCGCCCTGTGCTTTTAGAGGAAAAACAAATTTCAAGTCCAGAGGTTCTTACTGTAGTTGGGGGGAAAAAGAGGTAATGTCTGATGATTTTTTCTCTTCCCTGTTTATTTTTTATTTTCTGCTGCCGGGTTGCCTGTCTCCAAGGTACGAGAAGGTACGTCGTTCAAATTCGGACTCAGAGAGATTTCATGTAGAAGCTTTCACGTGTTTGTTTTCTTTGAACAGATCGTGAAGAAAGGCAGAGTTATTGTGGAGGAGCCCCGACACTCGCCTGAACAGGCAATTCCCGTGATTTCAGTATCATCTCCTGGCAAAGAAGGTTCTTCTCACTTGGTGGCCGCCGAAGTTTCTGAACCGCATTACGCTAACCTGAAACTGAAATCTAAACCGGTACCAGTGGACCGAGGCACCCTTGGTGGTGGTGGTGGTGGGGCATTGAAGTTGAACGAGTTGGATTCAGACAACAGGGCATTGAGGGACCAGTTGAAGAATTTGGCTATTTGTGGGTCTGATCAAATTCAGAGCATTGTGGAAGAGAAGAATTGTTTGGCGGAACGAGTTAAAATGCTGGAGGATTTGTCATTCAGGTGAGATGAAATATCTTTGAGGGATATTTTCATCAATTTTCTGTATTTTCCATTATTTCCAATGTACTGTGCCACGCGCCAGATTGTGAATCTCTTCTCGAATATGTACGAGGGTCTTGACAAAATTTCGTGCAATAGTTCAAAAGATTTCAAAATTTCTCTCTTCCAGCGCAAGACAACATGTTTCAGGTCTGTTTAACAATTTTTTTTAATGTTTTGCAAAATTCACCCTATCAAGATGAGGCAGATTTTTTTTTGTTTTGCTTCCTGCAAAAAATCTGCAGGAAGGGCGCCTCATCTTTCGAGTGGAGAGCAAAACTCTGCTAAGGTGAATTTTGCAAAACATGAAAAAAAATTGTCAAAAACAAATTGAACAGACCTGAAACACGTTGTCTTGTGCTGGCGGAGAGAAATTTCGAATAAAGTGCAACTTTTGATTCGAAATTTTGACATCTTTTGAATTATTTCACGAACTTTTGTCAAAGCCCTCGTATATTATCCCTAGGTTGAATCTGGAACTTGGGGCCTTGAGAGAGGCGTTGAAGAGGCAAAATTTGGACCCGGGTTCGGGTGTTGATTTCCCCACACTCGCCTTCCAGCTGCGTCAAGGAACCCCGCGTTGGCTTTCAGACTTGCCAGCGACACTCGCGTTGTTGGATTCTTATGACGACAAACTCAAGTCGAGTATGAGAAATGAGGTATTGTTTTTGTCCTGACTTGAAAAACCGTGTGATTTTTTTTTCTTTCCTCAATTGCCGGGTTTCTTGTCTGATTTCCGATTAGGAAACAAAGGATTGGGAGTCCATAAAAGCTGAAGCTGTGAAAGTTCTTTCAACGAATGAAGACCTTCAGAACCGGTTGGCACGAATGGAAAATGACGCACGGGTTGCGCATTCAGAACATTTGTGCAAGGGTGGGTTTTATTTTTCGATGAAAATGTTACTCCGGATGAAAAATCTGTTGCAAAAAGATTTAAAGAAGCATTGTGTTCATGAAGCGGGACAGGAAACAATTATTATAAACATTAATTTTTCTTAACTAGAGTCTGCTGTATTAGAAGTTATTTTCCATGGTAAATACAGTGTAAGTTTATCTGTCAAATTGAGATTAAGGTTGTCCTGGAGGGTTCAGATCAAACCACTGAAAGTGTGCAGTGCCAAGTGAGCATCAAATCTGTGTGAGCAAATATTTTGCAAAAATATGTAGCAATACAGTAAAGCAATTTGTATGGCGAAGTTATTCGTACCAGGGAAATACTGTAACTACGTTACATCAAAGATTTCTGTATACAGTAGCACAAATGCTGATAAGGATGGTGGTTATTGGACAGGGTCATACGAAACGAATTTGTTGTAAGCAACAATTCTTACATGAAGATTTGTTGTAAAGATATTCTACTGTATTACCATAACAACAAGGACTTCAATTCCTTGGAAATAGTGGAAACTGTAAATTTTTAAAAGATTGACTACATATTCTCATTTTCTTTTTATTTCCTGGATCAAGTGGGCGTCTTTCTCTTTTTGTGTGTGTTTGTTATATCGAACTTACGGAAATTCGTTGACATTCGACTAAGTTTTCTCACGCGGAAAAGATTTTTTAAATTTGTTTGTGTATCCTGATTCTTTCCTTACGCATGTTCTCTTTTTCTGTCTGGTATTACAGTGGAAGAACTATCGATTAAGCTGGAGCGATCAGAACTCGCCAAGAAGCAGCTAGAACTGGAGATCAGTGGACTACAGGCGCAGTACCGAATAGTGCGCGAACAGTACTTCACGTCAAGACTGGAGCAGGAAAAATGTGTTCCGATTGTCGAGCACGAAGCTGCTGTCTCACAGTGTTACAAGTACGTTGAAAATCAAATTGTATTGTATTACAATTTGATGAAACCAGTTCATTTTAAATTCCTTCATAGACTATTTGGGGAAGCAAAGAAGAAATATGAGAAGGAACAGAAACAGAGAGTCAAACAGATGGAAGAACTGACCAAAGATGTCGCGGGTTTCAAGGCGAAATTAAAATCCAAAGATGAGGAAGCCAGACACGCTGTGGACGAACTGGAAAAATGCAAACGACATTTGAAGTACGGTATTATGTGAAAGCGGATTATTTTTTAACTGAAACAGGCCTAGGAAAACGTGTATCAAGTTACGAACAAATATTATACTTTATGTACTCAAGTACCAACTGCCCCTGAGTCAGACATTTATGATGATGGCTACAAAAATCCTGAAGCATTATTTTTAAAGCTAGCGATGAAATTCTCTCCTGTGAGGTTTTGGCAAAGAAACATGAGACACATTGCTTTAATAATGTTGAATTTTCAGAATTACTGTAAGTACATCTTATTGATTTTTGTTGTGCATTCATCCACCCTATCTTCTGGACAAAATGTTCATAGAATCTTCAATGCAATTTCCAGATCAAGGGCTTGAGAGTGTGTTGACATTGCATTTTATGAAAAGTAAAATTTAAATACTCTTGAATCTCATGATGCAAAGGTTCATCTAAAATTTTAAATTCGAGTACAGTATTAGTATTTGTGAGCTTTAGCGCGTGAATTTTCTGCATCTCCTTTTTATTGAGTGTCAAATGAAATTCTGTTATCTTTTCAGAGATTGTAAACAACAGCTCGCCTTTGCTGACACGAGATCAGTTGATCTTGAAGAAGAAAAACGAGTGGTGGAGCGAAAACTGCAGGAGTTGTTGGCTTCTTGTGAAAACAGTGCTTGTGTGAAGGCACGCCTAGAGGCTCTAGTTGCAGAGTTGAGAGTCCAGAATTCATCCTTGTTGAAGCAATCCCAACATTTTCCGAAAAAGCTCAATAGATTAAAGAGCAAGTTGAAGGTGAGCATCAGTTTATTGATGATTTGAACATTATTGTGATCTTCTTGTTTACCTTTCAGACTGTTGAGTTTGTGGCGGACCGGAAAATTTCAGAAATGATGAAAGAGTTGGAAAGGTATCAGGCTTTGTACAAGAGCGAAGCTTACAAGGAAAATTTGTGAGTTGAAAGTACAATTATGTAATTAATCCGTCCACAGTGCCTTGTGGTACATTAAAGTGTGTTTTCTAGTCTGAACATTTTGTGAAATGTGGTGCCGCACGAGCTTGTTCGATATTGATGTGTTCAGAGGAAGATAAAGTCAAATATTTGCGCAAATTTAATAGTTTACTTAAATTGTTATATAGTATTGTGCAAAAATGACAAGGTCAGTGATAATAATTAAAAGTGCTTTCTTCGTTGGCGTTATAACTTGGCTTTGGTTATAGAAGCCTCGTCATTGTAGCTTGAAATTCCCGTATGCACAACTTATCGTCCATGAACGAAACAAATCCAAGTTTCCAAAAGTTGTAATCTCTGGTAATGAAAGCTACTAACAAATGCTCATCCATTCAAATTGAAATCAAAAATCAGAGATCCGTCACTGGAATCGGCCTTAACGCAATAGGTGAAATAGTTGGTATGGTTGACTTTTGAAGGTTCTGGAAAAAGATGAACGTCTTGATTTGCGTTCATGTACCACTGTACATTTTGGCCCGGTTCAATAGGCTTCACCGGGCCATTTGATATCAAGAAGAGCTCATCATCACGACCAGGGTATTCCCATGTCATCCACAGAGCCACACCATTGCAGAGTCCATCGCTGAAAATTAAAAATTTAAGTATTTAATTTCATATTTTATGAAGAAGAGAAAATGCCGAAAGAGAACAACAAAAATTTAGCAACAAGAGGAACGTTTATATTTGAAGAAAATTGATTTTCCAAGAAAAAAATAACCTTAAATTGGTAGGAATTTATCCAAGAAAATGTAAGACGCGAAATAATTTGAAACAAGATAAGGAAAATAAATTATTTTTGCTGTCCCACTCCCGACACCCCTTTTAACATACCTTTCGAAGGAAACCACGCCAGAGTGGACCTTTTCAAGTTCAGCTTCTACATCTTCGGCAAGATTGAAGCTTGCTACTTTTACCGCACCAGATAATGCCTTCCCAGGATATTCCCACAAAGGATGCGGCTCAACCACAGGGTCGCTTTTCCTAATAGCACCCTAAATTTGATGATGAATCAGAAAATTTTCAACAGATTTTTAAAACAATTTCTTCTGTAGCTACGAAAGACGGAAAATTGAATTTGCAGCTGCGTTAAGTTCTGTTTTGCTTCTACTGTATCTGCGTTAATGTATTCCTTTTTCAATGTTTGCCAAAAGATGAAAAATAGGGATACATTTCACTAATTCATTCAGATTTGAAACAATGAACATGAGACGTAACTATTGTCTCACTGCCGTGGCAACGTTTTCGAGCAGTAATTTTCATGATGTCCATAATATGAAGAAAAATATATATTCAAAAGCAATTCCAGTAAATTAAACTTGAAACGGCACTTGAATTTAGTTTCACGAAAATTTTTTTTTGGAAGATGTCACTTGAAAATTAATCCATGATATTCTACGCCACCTAGCGTGTACCAGGAGCATCACTTACGTCAATCACGCCATCGAAATGCTGTATGTTGAAGCCTAAAACGTCCATCACAGGAGCCCGTATTTTCCATAAATCCTTGAATTCTATCGCAGCTGCGTAAAGGTTTGCTTTTAAAGGTCGGAAGTACGTGCTTTCATTTATGATTCCGGACTTCTTCAACTCGCTGAAGTCGTACCATACTCTGAGGTTGTGCCAATTGAGGGAGGAATTTCGGTAAAAGGGATCTCCGATTACAGCATCAACCTGCAGAGAATAAAACGGCATTATACATATTTTTTGCAACAAAACAAGTTGAAATTTGATGGAACATCAAAAGATTGTGGGAGCAAATCAAGTCTCAAGACTGGAGGATCAAGAATTTGAAACTTGGACTGCAGAGAATAAAACGGCATTATACATATTTTTTGCAACAAAACAAGTTGAAATTTGATGGAACATCAAAAGATTGTGGGAGCAAATCAAGTCTCAAGATGGAGGATCAAGAATTTGAAACTTGGTGAATTTCAACAATAATGCAGTCAAAAGTCTGACGGAATCACAAAATTCAACTAGACAGTTTTTGAGTTAATGAAACCAGCATTTTCAAATGAAGAATTACAGGAAGGTAAAATTGGATGCAGATGTACATTTGCTCCATTAGTCGACTGACTTACTTTGATAAAGCATAAAATTACACTTTTATTGCTCCTCTCTTCCCTGGGTCCCCAGAATAATTGGTTTCCAGATATTCAATTTTTCTGGAGGATCAAAGATGAAAGACTTCGAGTTAGTGAGGTTATATTATACTTTTTTTGTACGGGGACAAAACAAAATTGACACAGGGAGGTTTGAGTTAGCAACTATATATACTTTCAAAAAGTTGATGACTGACTGTTTTTGATCAACCCCTGAATAAATGAATTGAAAATCATTTTCCACAACAAAAACATAGAAAGCAGGCTCACCTTGATTTCCCCAGCAGTTTTACAGGCATTTTTGTCCACTTCCACCACCTGTATTTTTCCCTCATCATAACCGTTGGTCTTGACGAGCTCCTCGATGAGATTTCGCATTCTATCATCATTCGTAAATGCCACCACGCCTTCAGCCCCCATAATGACAGCGGCCAGACTCAAAATCGGATTCTCCCCACAAATTCCAATGTACCTATGACCCGCGTCCAGAACATTCCTGAGTACTGATGTCCACACTCCGATTTGTTTGGGATCGTTCAGCTCCCCGATGCGACGGCGAGGGATCCCTGCGTGTGCCCCACAGGTGCAAACGGGTGACGGGATTTCTGAAATGGGTTCTGATCCATAAGCGCCGAACCACATGGAATATTCGTCGTGATGGGCGACCAGGTGGAATTCCTCGTCCGTTTTTGACACCTTTCGGGAAAAAACGCAATTCTAAAACATATTCATACGGATTGTCTAAAAATGATGAGATTCAATGTGAATTACGGTCCACAAATTCATACTACAGTACTTGAATTAAACTACTGTGCAGTTCTCGACTATAAGTGTAAAAATGAACGATACTCAGAAGAACATACAAATTAAAAATTTTTAAACGTGGAATGGGATGGGACGAACCATTCAAAAGATATTTCAGCTTTTTAAATTGGCTTTCCTTCCATAAATCGACACAAATCATTCATTCGAATTTTGACCCCTATCTAAGATTTTCATTGCGCATGGGTTAGATTTGTGAAGGTGATTAAAAGGTGTGACATGGACTAATTTTCCAGCAAACAATGCAGTATTTATTTTTATTTTTAAATATGTTAGGACATTAAGCATGCTTCTAAACGCTGAAATTTACTNCAGCAAACAATGCAGTATTTATTTTTATTTTTAAATATGTTAGGACATTAAGCATGCTTCTAAACGCTGAAATTTACTATCCATCACACGATCATTCCCAGGAGATGACGTTGGACCAGATACAATACTTCAGGCACTACAACTAGACCAGGCTAAGTTAAACCTCACCAAGTCAAAAACCGTTTAGTAACATATCCCATGAATCCCTAAAATATGCCATTCTCCTAAAATCAATGCAATTGAAACCTTCCAGAATCAACACTTTTTGGATTTCACTTCTCTTGGTTGAACTCTCAAGGGCTCGTTTTCATTTTGAGCTAAATCATAGAAAACATGTTCCAGAAAACCAAGAAACGACATGAAAATTATTTTCTTGATGCTTTTTAACATGCAACTTTCTGCATGCTATAAATCCATGAATACAAAAATGTCTGATACATTTGGCAGAAAAATCCTAAAATAATTTACACAATTCTACGAAATTTCATGACTAAAACCGATCCCAAGTTTAAAACTGTTTTCGAGTTCCTTCGGATTTGACTTCGAAATGTTCCACTGTATAAAAAAGGTTTAAAAATCTGAACAAAAGGGTGAAACCCTGGATTACCTTTCTAGGAGGTACGTGGTAAACTGCCTGCATCCAATGATCTCTCCAGGCCTCAT